AGTCCCACTGCACCTGCTGCAGTTCAGTAGCACGGCTGCAGCGGTGGGCTGCACTCGCCAGCCGTGAGCCCAGCTTCTGGCTGAGCAGCGCTCCTGCTGGGGGAGCACACTGACCACCAGGGGGCAGATCCTGCATTGAGCGTCTACCCCCTGGTGGTCAGTGCACATCATAGGGACCAGTTGACTGGTCGTTCTGGTCATTCAGTCCTAATGGTCGCTTAGGTTTTGATTGATAGATAGATAGATAGATAGATAGATAGATAGATAGATAGATGATAGATAGATATGTAATAATGGTGTAAGCTAGGAAACTCATAATGCCTCAGCATCAGAAAGAAAGACCTCATCTCTAGAAGAAAGACCTGTATATGGGCCAGGGCAGTAATGGTCTAGGTCAGTGGTCGGCAAACTCAATAGTCAACAGAGCCAAATATCAACAGTACAACCATTGACATTTCTCTTGAGAATCAAACTTTTTAAACTTAAACTTCTTCTAAGGCCACTTCTTCAAAATAGACTCGCCCAGACCGTGGTATTTTGTGGAAGAGCCACACTCAAGGGGCCAAAGAGCCACGTGTGGCCCGTGAGCCGTAGTTTGCCGACCACATGTCTAGGTATCTTATCTCCTTTTCAAACCAGAGGCAGACAATTCTTCAGCCACACTCAAATACTCGAAGACTTTTTAACCACAATAAGTTTCAAAACACAGGCACACAACTTACAGTAAAGACAAGCACATCCTGTTTGCACTTCCTGTTCTGAACTGTCTCTATACACGGCTGCTCCCTAGCCACAAACAGGTAGGTAAACTTTCATATCTACCAACAACTGGTTCGCTGAACAGTATTTCAATGACAATAAAACATATTATTCTGTGAGTCAGGTAAGAGTCACCTGAAAAGCATCAACAAACAAGTAGGGGCCTCTCAGGCAGTTTCTGGAATTCCCATGTTTTTACCAACATCTGACCTAGAGTAAACAATAAAAACGCGGAAAGTGCTGAGCTAAGAAAATTAAGCCTGAAACAAAACTTAGAATAAGGGGGCTGGGGAAAATAACAAGAAATAATGAATGTGTTTTTATTATTAAAGGCTGGCCTCTTTTTAAATAGAGAAGGGACAATTTTCTGTCAGCCAGTTCCCACTGAGCAGATTCCCAGAAGCAAAACTCCAAGAGTGATCCAACCTGTACCAATCTGAGTCTACTTTTCAGTCCTGCAAAAGCCTTCAGTTCTAGAGACCAAAGCCTCCCCTTCGAGCAAAACTCCCATTGCTTTCACAGAGGTCGTGGTTCCAAGTCACATTCAGCACTGGGAGTAAACACAGGGCAACGAATAGCCCTGTTTTATGGGCTTGTCATTTAGCCTCTTTGGATCTATTTTCTCATCTGGAAAGGGTTGGATCACACCAATCTCTTAATGTTTCTTCCAGCTGTAGAAAAAAAATCCAGGGATTCAACACTAACAGTTAGAAGCTTCTGTGTGTGACTTCCTGCATTGATTCTATGGCCAAATAAGATGCCTCTAGCATCCCAGTCCCACTGTGTGAATATACGCATTCATCCACCTTCCAAGTACCCAAGGATTTTTCCCTTTCCCTAGAAATGTCGATCAGAAGGTTTCCCACTTGAAAGCAACAGACCAGCAAATCTTATGTTCTTGACACATGGTCTTTTTGTTAAGATCTTAATGCAACCACGCTGGTCATATGATTCCTGGAGAGAATAGAGCCAGCCACAAAAGGATGGAGAAAATCTGACCAGCAGCATGTGGCACTCCCACACAGTGACTGCTAATGGGGAAAGAATGAGGCAAAATCTGGGTAAGAAAAGGGAGTGGGGAAGACAATTTCTGTGAGTCAGTGCAAGAGAAAGCAAAGGAAATGGGAAAGGAGTAAGGAAAGCAAAGGAAGAAGAAATCTAAAGCAACAAGCAGACACTTAAATCTGAAATTCTGTTTGTTCATTCACTCATCCAACAGAGATCAAATGCCCGATGTGCGAAGGGAACTGAACTAGACGCAAGGGGAGACACAAAGGTTGACCAGATAGACCTGCACAATGGGACTCTGGTCTGGTAAGAGATAAAGGCATGTACACAAACAACTGACATGTACGTGCTGTGCCATAAAAGAGACAGAAAAGAATTCTCCTATGAGACCCTGAGGAGAAAGTGATTACTGCCAATGAGAGATCAGACGAGGAGGCTTCATAGAAAGAATGACATTCAAAGCAGAAAACACACAGAACCAAGGACACCCAAGTAGGAAAATCAAGGACATACAGGTACAGTGAATAACTAGATGTGACTTGAGAAATAAGTGTCACAAAGGGAGGGATGGTAATAATAGTGATCCAGAGAGCCATGGTTAAACTGACTACTGGATTGGAGTCAGACTGTGTACTTCAAAATCAAACTCAGACTTTGAATTTAAATCAAGTGGAAAAGGAGGCGGGGAACAAGGGGAGATTGACAAGTTAGGAGCTGGAGAAATCTTATAACTTAACCCATAAGAATTAAAAAAATAGAGGAGGCCATTTCAACTCCAGAATCACCCAAGGCAGAGAAATACTGGAGGCAGGTGACACTCCATCTTCTCTGCAGTGGGATAAGATGCTTCCCTGAAGCTTAAATGGGAACAGCATACAGTAGCAGACGGGGATATGTACTGAGTCAGATGGACTTATTACCCCTCTCAGATCGGCCTCTTAGCATCTTGGAGACAGCCCTGGCTTCCTCATTTGTAAATTGAGGATAATTGTGCCTACTTTGCAGGAGGACCACTGGGAGAATTAAATGTCCTACTGTATGCAAAGCACTTAGTACAATACCTGGCATATAGTAAGCAATCAATAATCTTAGCTTTTTGTAACTGTATCCTTCCCCACAAACTATTTTATCATATTATCCCATGTTCACCAAGGAAGCCTGATATCATTAAATTTCATTTCTCAGATCTCTTGATATTGAAAAGCAATATCCTAGCAAAATCCAGAATCCTGTTACAGGAAAGGAATCCTTCACTCTAAAATAATAAATTGGCATTCCTTTCTCAGCACAGTCACTCAGTTCTAAAAAGAACCCTGTCACCAAAAAACCTATCATTTTCAGGTGCAAAACAAAATACATTTTGTGCCCTGAGAACCAGACTTAAAGCATAGTAACCAAAGCCCTCAGGGGTCTTCCTGAGAAGCTAGATGGCACCCACCAGGCCAGCCCTACATAATGCCAGTCTCAACCTACAACAAGCCAATATGAATACTACTTCTCCACCTCCCACCTCTCTCAGACCCTTCAGTTGTGGGCTATGGCAAAGCACTGTACCCACCCTCCCGGCCTCCATTTCTACCTACCCTGTTTCCCCGAAAATAAGACAGTCTTATATTAATTTTTTCTCCCAAAGTTGCGCTAGGTCTTATTTTCAGGGGATGTCTTATCTTTCCATGTGCTAGGTCTTATTTTCGGAGGATGTCTTATTTTCGGGGAAACACGGTACCATTCTAGCAGTCAAAGATTCCATCTTATCCATCTTTGCATTCTTTCCTCCATATCCCAATATATCTTGCATCAAACAGAACCACAATAAGTTTATTGTAAGGAATGAATTAAAGCCTGGCCAGGGTGATTCAGTGGTTGAGCATCTACCCCATGCAACAAGAGGTTGCTGGTTCAATTCCCAGTCAGGGCACATTGCCTGAGTTGCAGGCTTGAAACCTGGTGTGGGGTGTGGGAGGCAGCCGATCAATGTTTTTCATATTGATGTTCCTATAGCTCTCTCCCTCTAAAAATCAATTATTTTTTTTAAATGAATATAAAACACAAATTGCAATCTGCCATTCTTGTACTGTGGAGCCTTTTTCTGATTTAGTGAACTATTGTTCTGTTTTTCTTCCCCTTCTTTCCTCAATCTTTCCAACACCTGAGCTACCAAGTATTACAGAAAAGTCAGAGGACTTTATTTACGGGGTTCCCAACAAATTCATACACTGGGAAAGCAATCACTGGGTTTGAAAATCTTTTCTTCACCTCTAGTTGATGTTTCCACATCAACTTTCCAAAGAGCATTGTTGTGAGGGTTTAGGACATGGGGCCTGAAGTCAAACCTCTTGAGTGACCTTATTCATGGTGCTTAACTTCATTGCCTACAGAATACCTGGAGGTCATTAATGCAAAGCCTTACAGCACCAAGTGTTCCACAAAAGGGAACTATTACTTTCTTCTAGTTTATCTAAAGTAATCTTCCAACCCTTATCCCCTCTTCCACTTCTTTGTCAGATAACTAGAAACCTCCTCACCTACTTTACCAAAATAACCAATTCCGTCCATTTATTCTGAGGCAACAGTGGTACAGTGGAAAGAACACTAGAATCAGGGGTCCAGTGGTGTCACATACTAGATATGTAGCTTTGCACCAATTGTTTCATCTGTGTCAGATTCAACAGCAAAATGGATATTTTAACATATTTCTTATAGAATCACTATGATAATTAGTTGGAAAAATATAAAAAAGCATTAGGCAAATAAAGAGGGAAAAGACTTAGTGAGGTGATAATATTTTTAAAGGTAACTACATTTCAAATCCCAGTTCTACCACTAACTCTTCGTATGACCTTGGACAAGTTAAATTTTCCAGTCCTCAGTTTCTTGTCTGTAAGATGGGGGAAATATCATAACTTCACAGGGTTAAGAGGTTTTAAACAACATGCAGACTACTTTGTGTGTTGATTTCCCATCCTTCTTTCTGCCTTTTTTTTTCTCTCTCCATCTCAAAAACTCCCCTTTGTTCACTAGACCAGTAGAATCCACCATTTTTGACCATTAGTTTTTTTAAATAGCACATCTCTAGTATATTTATGTATAACAGCAAAGAAGACAAGTATTACTATACAAACATACTGTGTTCTATCCAAAATATAACACTAAAAAGAAATTTCAAGGGTTAAGATAAAAATACAGAACTTACTTTTAATATTTCCTTCCCATACTCCAAAGGAAGATCTTACCTTCCTCTGTAATTTGGAAATCCATTTTGGAGGTCCCTACATTATTAGACAAACTGTTCAAAGACAAAGATAACAAACAGTCATGGTATAGCTTCTAGCACGGAGTAGATGCTCAGTAAATATTGGTCCATTACAGTTTTGGAAACCCTGACTTCCTTCACACATACTTCTCTGTGCAGCTTTGCACAAAGTGAACTCTCTGCTCTGCCTCCCTTCTCTTTAATTCCTAACTTCCCCAACAGAGTAGCTGGTACTCTACCTTACTTTCACTTCATACACTTGTTCTTTCACTCCATTCCTCTCTACTGAAAGACCTTTCTCCAAGGATACCTATGATATTCTGACAGCTAAATGCCTGGCTTGTTCCTACGTCCTTAACCTTCATGACCTCCCCCATATACCAATGACCTGTGTTCTTTCAGTCTTTCTCACAGGCTCCTCCTTCCCCTTCAGTTCCCACTTAGAGTAGCTTGACTCTCCTTTGACTTCAAAGACCAATCTTCCTCCCTGGTTCCTTCTTTTGTCCTCTAAATCTCCACTGGGGCTCCATGCTAACCTTCACTAGTGAGTTATAGTGTCCCACATTTTAAATATATTCTGTAAATCTGTGTTCCATTCTATGTCCACTGCCTTAAATGCCACTTTTTTTCTCAAGAACTACAGCAAACATCTCAGTAGTGCCCTCCTCTTTGCTGCTCTATTTGCTACATGGTAGTCAGGGTAACCTTTTGTTTAAAAAAAAATGTATACTCGCCTAGACCGGTTTGGCTCAGTGGATAGAGCGTCGGCATGAGGACTGAAGGGTCCCAGGTTTGATTTCGGTCAGGGCATGTACCTTGGTTGCGAGCACATCCCCGGGGGGGGGGGGGGGGGGGGGGGAGGCAGCTGATCAATGATTCTCTCTCATCGATGTTTCTAACTCTCTATCCCTCTCTCTTTCTCTCTGTAAAAAAATCAATAAAATATATTTTAAAAAATAAAATAAACTAAAAAATGTATATTCTTTTTACTCTCCTGCTATAAAGCCTTCACTGGCTTCCCAATATGCCTTTTTTAAAGCCTAGACTCCCTCCCTATATGGCCCCCATGTGCTATGTGCCCTGCCTACCTTCCTCACTTTACCTCATGATGATCTCCCTCTCCACCTGCACCTCACTCTGAGCCCTTGGTGGTCTCCTTTCAGTTCCTCAAAAATAATAAATTATTTACTGCCACTAGGCCTACACGCGTGTGGTTCCTTTCCTTCCTGGAATACTGTCTGCAGCTCTTTTCATGATGCTGGTTCCTTTATCAGACTTCAGCTCACCTCCCTACAACACAGTTGTCTGACACGCCATGGAAGCTCAAATAAGTATTCACTGAATGAATAGGTTGCTTAGTCTTCATTCAGATAACTCCAAATCTAAATATCTGGAATGAGTCTCACCCTTTAATTTCAGTACCTCATTTTTAAATGCCTGCTAGATATCTGACCCCAAATTTAGCATCCCAAAGTACACTCAAAACCAAACCCTCATCTCTTCTGAAACCAGTTCCTCCAATATTCTGAAATTATATGAGCAATATAATCCACACATTCTGCTTCAGAATTATGATTTTCCATTCATTTGCTCCACCTGTCCAAAATTCTAATCACCCTTTAAAATGGAATTAAACTATCCATTCACTCACACATTCAATCAACCACTTATTCATTCAACAAATACTTACTGAGTACTTATTGAGGCTGGCAGTACATTAGATACCAGAAAGCAAAGCAGACCTATTTTGTCTATCACACATCAGTCAAATAATCACACAAATATGTAATTATAAACTAAAAAATGCTATGAAGGAAAAAGTGCTAGAAACTATGAGGAAAAAAAAAAGTGAAAAAGAGCCGAAACCGGTTTGGCTCAGTGGTAGAGCGTCGGTCTGCGGACTGAAAGGTCCCGGGTTCGATTCCGGTCAAGGGCATGTACCTTGGTTGCGGGCACATCCCCAGTAGGGGGTGTGCAAGAGGCAGCTGGTTGATGTTCCTCTCTCATCGACGTTTCTAGCTCTCTATCTCTCTCCCTTCCTCTCTGTAAAAAATCAATAAAATATATATTTTTTTTTTTTTAAAAAAGTGAAGAAGAAAAGAAACACCCTTTTGATGACATGCTAACTGAATGAGATGTAACTTATACTAGGCTGACTGGAAGGTAGAGCGTGCCAGGTGGAGGGTTCAGCCAATCCCTGGTAGCAGGAGACCAGCAGGCCTATCGTAAAGCACCTACTGTTCTGCCTTAAATATTATATCTATCCGTCTTGTTCCCTTTCCCCAACCTCACTGTCATTTTACTGAGAGTTACCTGAAGTGCCAACCCCCTCAGGAGATAACGGGTCACTTGTATAGTACCTAAGGAGTCCATGCCTGTAACAAGCTTTCAGATGACTCTCATATGCAGCCAATCATATGCCCAAACTATCTATTCAATAAACGTGTATTGATTTATTCTCTCATTAAAAATCTCTAAGGTCGGTGTGGTAAATCGTTTCCAAAATTGGAGCCAATAATCCCAACCATCCTCCATGCCCTTGCGCAGTATGACTTTGACCCTCTACCCTTGTCCGTGTCCCCTCCTCTTGGATGTGGGCTGCACTTGTGACTTACTTAAACCAAATGCATGGGACAAAAGTGATGATGTATGATCTTCAGGCCCAGGCCTTAAGAGGCCCTGCAACTTCCATTATGGCCCCTTGGAAGCCAACCATCATGTAAAAGGAGCCTGATCTAAATTAATGAATGATGAGGCCAAGAGAGAAATGGGCCTCATGGAGGAGAACCAAGATGTCCCAGCCAACAGCCAAGCATGGAGTCCCCAGATATTTGAGTGAAGCCATGATAAATCCTCCAGTCTAATCAATATCTCATAGAGCAAAAGTAATATGTCCCTCTTCCCTGAACTACTAAACCCACAGAATTATGAGCAATAAAATGGTTGTCATCTGAAGCCATAAAAGTTTTAGGGTGATTTGTTACTCAGTAATAGATAACTGAAATAGTCAGAAATTCGACACTGTTTTAGCAGTCATTCAAACGTTTCTCAACTTTGAAGCTCAAGAAACCCTTCTTCATGTTCATTAAAATTACTCCTCCTTCAATTTAAGCCCATTTCCTTTTAAGTCTTTGAAGTACACAAGAACAATTACTCAAAATCCCCCTGGCAGAAACTATTCTTGTACTTGTAAGATGATAATCAAGTCATGCCTTAACTTTTTCTTCTCTAGGCTAAAATCTCTTTTTAAAAAACTTCTAATGATGACTTATTTTATTTTTTATTTTTTAATCATCTTTATCCTTTCTTAAGTGTGCAGGGACCAGAATTAGATGTTACATATCATTATCTAACAGATTATTTCCTAGCCCTTATGGTTCATCTTTCTATAATCAAATTTCACATAGTCCCAAATACAGCATATTAGCGCCTCCACAGTTGTGAATTACCCTACAAACTTAATCACTTACTAGAATTACTGTGAAACCTTTTCTGCTCTTAACACTCAGCTTACTCCAACTGGCTAGGCAACTCATTTGGTTAGAGAGTCATCTCTTGGTTAGGGACCAAGGTTGTAGGTCCCTAGTCAGGGCACATGTAAGAAGCAAACAATGAATGCATAAGTAAGTGAAACAACAAAATGATGTTTCTCTCTCTCTCAAAAATGAATAACTATTTTTTTAAAACACTCTATTTTTAAAATACTCTATTTTTGATGACTCCCTTCACTCATCAACTTCGTTTGACAGTCCATTTTTGCAGTAGGTTTTAACAAATTCTAGACATTTGAAGCTTAAGAGGTTGGAGTGGGCACATTAATAATTTCCATGAAGGTCTCTTAACATTGCCAGGGCCTTTCCATAGGTGAGGCAGGGTACCTCCTTCTTCTACCTCAAAAATAAAGGAGCCTTGGAAAAGGAAAGAGTTTTAGCATCTGTATACCGAGCAAAGGTGCCTTTGCTGTAGAATCCAACACTTAACTACAAAGAGACACAAACAAGTTGCTTAAGGTAATGTGAAAACACATTTTCTCTTTGAGTCTTACCTGAATGTATGCCTAGATGCCAGAAACAGCTTTATAATCACCAGTAAAATAGGGCATTATAAGTATCAAATAAAATGATAGAAGGGAATAATTTTGTAAAGTACTATAAAAATGTTAGATGAGCCCTAGCTGGTGTGGCTGAGTGGATAGAGCATTGGCCTGCAGTCTGAAGAGTCCCAGGTTCGATTCCGGCCAAGGGCACATGCCTGGGTTGTGGGCTCGATTCCCAATAGGGAGCATGCAGGAGGCAACCGATCAATGTTTCTCTCTCATCATTGATGTTTCCAGCTCTCTATCCCTCTCCTTCCTCTCTGAAATCAATTAAATAAATACATAAATAAATAAATAAGAAAAAGAGATTTAAAAAAAATGTTAGGTGACATTATGAAACTCAGTTTTAGCAAGCCCTATAAATCTTCAAACTAACTTTGAATGGTTAGCTGATGGTTTCAAGTGACATAAACAGAACAAGGCACCATGGGCTCAAGTTCATCAAACAGAACTCAAAAACACGCCATCTTGTAAGAGAACTTACAAATTTTCTTCCACTGCCAAGAGTAACAAAGACATTTGGACTAGTGGTTTGACCCTGAAGACCCGCTTCAGCCACTGTCTGATGGAACTAGGTCAGGGGCCAGGAACTCAACAGACTAGTGGAAGAGACCCATAGTGCTGCAGAAATCTACGTAAATAAGAAAGAATAACTCTATATGAGAAAGTCAGAAAAGGTGTAACATCTGAACTAAGTCTCCTAGGGGAGGTGGTGAGCACTTTGCCTGTTATAGAAGAGGCGGCCACTGGGGAAAGTGCAGAGTCCTAAAAGGACATTGTATAACCAGGAACTAGAAAGATGCAAAGTCCAGGAGAGAAATGGCTAGGAAAGAGGAAATAAGACGGTAACAGTTACAGGTAGGGCAGGGTCAAATCATGAAGGACTTTACCTATCAGAGCTAAGCAGGA